AAAGAAAGAATTTCAAGTATCGCTCTTTCAGACATTAGTGTTGCTTATGTTTAATGAAGGAGATGAATTCAGTTTTGAAGAAATTAAAATGGCAACTGGTGTAGGTAGGAAGCATTCTGTTTGATTCTTAAATTTATTCACTGAGTAATTGCCAATTATGTTTTGGTATGTAAAGGCCTAATTTTAAGAAATTTGCCGTGATCATGAGGACAAACTTTATGAACCAATAGTATATAGACACTAAAGGAGATGAGGAATACACACTGCTGGTACTTCCTAGTGTAGATAAAATAGATACTTCACAAAACTAATAGTAAGAGCTGTGTAGCATATGGTACTACTAGCAACCTATTAGATTTACAAAATATATCATCACAATTCTTGAAATTCAAGTGGTGATAAAGACTGTTGTGTGTACAGTTTATTTTTGTTTCATTACAGTTTGAAATACTATGTTTTGAAAATGATCTGTTGTAGAATACTGTCATTTGGGGGTAATTCAAGAGAGTATTTTCAACTGAACTGTTCTGAGAGCTTGCCCACCTATTTTCCATTACTGTTGCTGGAGCGCCGCATTTACAGTAGGTCTGATTCATTAAGACGACCAGCGTCCTGTAGGGTGTATACTTTGTAGCTGTCTCCCTCTGCACTTGAAATCAGGCAGAAAGGACAAAGAAAACTGAGGAAAAGAATAGAGGGTTTTGTTTGTAACTATCTGCAGTATCTGCCTTCTGTGTTCTTATACTCTTGGGTGATTTCCCCCCCCCACACACATTTTTACACTTCCTTGAAATAGTTACAGCCATTGGCATTAAAAACGATCATGCTATCATCTCTTTACTCTCTGGAACCTCTGCATCAACCAGAAGGTCATACCCAGTAGCCCTTCGCATGTTGAATCTTAAGGTCAACCCAACACAGCAACTGCTGAAAGAGTATTTGAACCCATATAAGTACTAAAATACTGTGAATATATTTACTAAAATACTGTAAAATGGGGATATCAAAAATCCTTGTGGTTCAGAATGATGTGTTGCAGAAGGCAGTACAGCCAGGGTGCTCCAGCTTCTCAGCATCAGCGCTTCAAGTTGCTTAGTCATTCGCTCAATTAATGCTAAGGTAGCTGAAGAAGACTCATGCCAGTTTGAATGATAAGTATCAGGATAGTCCGGAGAGTCTCATTAGGTCAGAGTACAATGGTTCCAGAACAGACATAAGTTCAGGCAAGCCTGATCCAGATCCTGCTTTCTCATCTTGTCTTGCTGTATCTTGGAGCTTGTGCTCTGGCTGCCTGACAGCAACAGATTAAAATCTGCTGCATGGAGATGCATTCCATTACAGCACGATAGAAGGGATTTCAATACACTGTTTTTAAGGCAGCTGGCTAGAATTGATAGTTAGGAGCTACCTATATTATGTTACATCATTGCACTGAGTGCCATGTCTGTGTTTCTCTCCCCTGTGGGGAAATAGTATAGGAATGCAGATAATGAGGACAGTTCATGGTCCACGGGGTTCACATGGGGCCAGCATGGATGGCACAAAATCTCTGTCTTCCCAGGCTCTACCTACAGAAGGCATTCAGAGCTGCTCTAGAGAGGTCCCATTCTCACCTAGCAGTCTCCCTGCTTCTAAAGAGGAGGAAACTCTTATGGCCAGAAATGATGTCAGAAATAGGTCCTACACTGCACCCTTCCTGCCTCCTGCTATGTGGGTGATCCTTTCGCTCAGTGGTACGCTGTGGAAGGCTGGTATCTTGGCTAGTTGGAGAAGAACAGCGATTCAGCTATTAGAAAAAGTAGCTGAATTTGTGATGCAGCTGCTTGGTGAATTGATCACTAAGGGCAGAGGTGCTGACAGCCAGACTCTCAGAGACCACCCTGGATGAACCAGAGGTCTTGGCTCATGGCTACGAATAGCAGGATGTGGTAGAAATCCTGGAGGGTAAAACCTGGGCATTAGGGTTGCCATAGAAACTGTTTCTAAATCTTCTAAACACCATGTGTAGGGCTGAACAGACAGGCAGAATTGCAATGTATGCTTGAAAAAATGATGTATGGAAGAGGGTCTAGATTTATGAGGGAGTAGGAAAGCCTTTGAAACAGGGGCAGCCTGTACGAGAAGGGTGGGCTCCATCTAAATTCAAAGGGAGTGAAGTTGTTGGCACATTTTAATGTTTTAGAAAGTCTGTAGGGTTTGTCAGACTTCTCCCTCCACCATCTAAAAATAATATAGTGGATCCGAGAAGAGTTCAGGGAATGGGAATAAAGATGGAAGACATGGAACATCTTCTTTAGAAGGAATGGTTGTATGTGCTATGACCAAACTAGACCAAAAGGTAAATAGAAATCTGTGAATAAGGATTTGTTTTCTTACTCAAAAAAAGCTAGAGGGCAAAAATCCGATATGAGCACATGGTAGTGAAAACTAAACAGCATGTTGTAAAAGCTGGAAGTTTACAGAATTTGAGAGGACAGGTGCAGGGAAGAGCAAAGCACTGAAGGTTTCTCAACACATAGAAACCACCTCTGGCTGAGGAGGTCCCTGGGCCCTAAGTGACTGGAGGCTTACAGAGCAGTAGGATGAGGAGAGGAGGAAGAGCAGGGAAGTGTGGAGCTGTGCTAGCTTTGCTCTTATATGCTGCCCTGTGCTCAACTGCTTATGGCCACTGCTGGAGACAGCATGCTGGGCTAGATAGACTTTCTGACCCAGGGTGCCTGTTCTTCAGTTCTAAACTAAACACTGGAAGGAATACTGAACCTCCCCACTCTGAAGAATTGGCCATAACCACTTCCCTTACTTTGGCGTTCACATGTGCCAGCTCTTTCTGGGAGGTGGTGGAAGCCTCGTGCAGTTTTTGGTGAATTAGCATGTGTTGATGTTGAGACCCTGTTACAAGGTGTTACCCAGTCTTTGCATATTGGTGTTTACTGTGGAAGAGTTCAGAAGGCCATGTACAGGCCGTAGGGCAGAATAAAATACTGCAAGTTGAAGTGTCAGTAAATGGTTTAGAACAGATGAGTGAATCAGACAGTAAATTAGACCACCACCAACTGAACAGTATTCACCCTGAAGCTTTACAGGAATCTGTCTAGATTATAATTTCAGTGAGTCTTGGTGCAAGCTTGACAAGAGCAATGCTAAATTTCTAATTTATTTTTGCATTCATGGAGTAATTCTGCTGATTACTACAGGGTAGTAAGTCTGAACTGATAGGCCCATGGAGAAGTGTATATTAGGTAGGAGCCAGCGTGATTTAAGTGATGCACGATTTTCCTTTCAAATTGAGAGTCAGCAAGTATATACATAATCGTAATTATGCACTTGGCTTTTTAAAAGTTCTTGGTAAGAGCTCCTCACAGGCTCTAAAATAAAGTAAATTTCCATGGCTTGAGAGGGAAAGTCCTCTTAGGGATGAATAATTGATTAAAATTCAGGAAACAACAGGTAGAAATGAATGAGCAGCTTTCATAGTGAAAGGAAGCTGTTGTTTGGAATCTCCAGGTATTGTTCAACATGGCCATTAATGATCTGAAGAAGATGAATATGACAGAATTTGATGCTGATTCCTTAGGAAGGTCAAATCTGAAATGTGTAAAAGCAGTTACAAAAGGAACTCACGCTGTTGAACAATTAGATCAAATGGCATCCAGTGTTGATGAATATAAATATATCTGGGGTCTGCCAGTCATGTCTCCCCAGCTCCCTTGCTGACTATAGTGGAAGATAGGGCCAGTCAGATAAATAGCTGTTTGTTTCACTCAAGAGTCATACTGAAGTTAACATAAATAACTATAATTAAATTTATAGTATGACTTAAAACTTTCAGTCACTTAAGCAAGCGCTTAATAAGAAAAAAGCCTTAAGAATAAAGTGCCTAAGAATAAAGCCTAGCAATTTATGATATCAGTGCTGCACTTAGCAGGATAGGACAGCCATGGCCAAAGTTCCAGTTCCTTAAGAAGTCTTTCATACGTTATCTACTACATATATTTTAAAGACGTAAATATGATATATTCTGTGATTATACTGTCCAGACACTTACTTAGGCGGCTTCAGTATTAGCTACATCGCTGTGTTTACAGTATTACAAGTCAGTTTTGTAAATGTCTTGCACTTAAAGTAAGTGGGTATCTAGATATTAAAAATCCTGCACTTAAAGTAAGGGGGTATCTAGATATTAAAAATCCTGTGTATTGAGAGAGTTTGGGCAACTGGTCTCTACGTGGATTTCAGACTTTGTCTGTTGTATCTTTATATTCCATCCCCATCTAACACAAAATACATACACTTTTGCGGGTCAAAAAGTCATACTCATGAATTTTCCTCAGGCTACATAGAAGAGTACCTCATGGGCGATAACCACACTGCGGGGCGGGGGGGGGACCAAAAAACCAAGAAACACCAAACCCAAACAAAACATCAAGTGGATTTATGCCCCTTTAGGATATCATTGTCTTCATCTGTATTACCTGGCATATTTGGAATTTGTGTTTTGCAGTCACTTACAATAAATTATCACCAGTCTCTTTACAGAGCTGAGGTTGTCCCTGGTACCTTACCGCAGTTAGCAAATGCATAAACTGTCACTCGGAGAAAGAATGGTTACATTCTCTTTTGTAACTGTGCTTCTTTGAGATGCGTTGTCCCAATATACCCCATGCATTTACCTGCCTTTCTCATTAACAAGAAAGCCCCTAGGAGCTGTAGTTTTTACTTTTGCTTCAGTGATTAGTAGGAAATTGCAGATTCCTTCCCTTTGGCATACTGCAACCTGCAACTTAGCGTGCAGGGCAGAAGCAAAACTCCGAAGTACACTGAGTGTTTTTAACAGCATCCTTTGTTTGGACAAAACCACAACTCAACAATCTCCATTTACTGAAGGTGAAATACCCAAAAAGTGTGAAACATCACAAATGCCTGTATAGTCAATGTGGTTTAAAGGATTTTAGTAATCATAGAACAGCTGGAAGTTTAAAAAAAGGGAAAAGGTCACTCTGTGTGAAAGTTGAAGTATTTTAGAAATAATAATAGCGTTAATCTTTTACTCAGCTACACTGCACTTCAGCACTGGATTGCAAAACCTTTCTTTTAATTTTTAGACTAAAACTCTGTTCAGGAGATCCAACACACTTGGTGATAATTTTATATTGTGAATAAGTATTCTAGAGACTGCAGAGGCTGTTTTAATGCAAAATCTTGATACAAGACTCTGCAACATAATTACTAGAATATTTTAGAGTTTATTTTATCCACTTGTCCAAATGCTTTTAGCTTTAAATCTCACTAGATAAAATTTTCCTCACCTACTTGTTCCTACTACTTTCCTGTTGTGGGGGAAGTTTGTGACTATAATAGCTGTCAGCTCTGCCTTCTCACAAAACATCATCCTATCAATTTAGACTTCTGTTATTTTATTATATATTTTCATACATATAGTGATATATATGATATAGTGATAAATAGTGATAAAATCATAAAATGGGTGGCTTGAATTTGTCGTTGACCTATTACTTTTTTTCTTCTAAAGTCATGTTACTACCAACCAAAACTAAAGCCATACAATTAGACTCATGTTAATGTGAAATCTATTCTGAAACTACTTTTGCATAGAAAGCTCACTGAGATGAGCCTGAGTCTGTCATCCTGATGTATACAATTCTGTGCATGCTCTCAGCACTCACTGTGAAAGATGTGAGACCAAGTTTGAAGGCTCTAAGTTGTTAAACCTAACTGGAACTTAGCTGGAAGAAGGTATTAGCATAAACCCAGTAACTTTTCAATTGTCTTCCTAGCTTCATCACATAAAACTCATGTTAATGTTTTGTTCTGCTTTCTCCCATACTTTTGAACTTCTTCACAGAGGACAGTGAATTAAGAAGAACCTTGCAGTCTTTAGCTTGTGGAAAAGCACGAGTATTGGTTAAAAATCCAAAGGGCAAGGATGTAGAAGATGGAGATAAATTCATCTTTAATGGTGATTTCAAGCATAAATTGTTTAGAATAAAGATCAACCAAATCCAAATGAAAGAAACAGTATGTATTTATTTTTTGTCTTCATTCTGTTTGTTAACTGTTTACACGCATGGAGAGACAGAATCTCTGCATTTCCTCTCGTAGTTTGTGCATATGGAGAAAGGAAACATAATTAATTTTTTTGGTAGTCAGAATGACTTGCAGAGGCAATAAAGGCCTCAGAACTCACTGAAATTGAAACAACTTAGGCTCCTTCCTGTGCTTGCAAATTTAAATGCCTCTATATTAAACTGATAGGATCTTGTAGATGTTTCAGTCCATTTTGGAAGTTTTCATGGTATGGCTGCAGCATTTGTGCTGTATTGAACTCATGAATCAAATGTCATAGAATCATAGAATGGTTTGGGTTGGAAGGGACCTCAAAGATCATCCAGTTCCAACCCCCCTGCCATGGGCAGGGACACTCTCCACTAGACCACGTTGCCCAAAGCCCCATCCAACCTGGTCTTAAACACTTCCAGGGATGGGGCACCCGCAACCTCTCTGGGCAACCTGTTCCAGTTCCTCACCACTCTCACCAGTGAAGAATTTCTTTCTAACATCTAATCTAAATCGACCCTCCTTCAGCTTAAACCCATTACCCCTTGTCCTGTCACTACACTCCCTGATAAACAGTCCCTCTCCAGCTTTCCTGTAGGCCCCTTCAGGTACTGGGAGGCTGCAATTAGATCTCCCCAGAGCCTTCCCTTCTCCAGGCTGAACAACCCCAACTGTCTCAGCCTGTCCTCATAGGAGAGGTGCTCCAGCCCTCCGATCAGCTTCGTGGCCCTCCTCTGGACTTGCTCCAACAGCTCCATATCTGTCTTGTACTGGGGCCCCCAGAGCTGGACGCAGTACTCCAGGTGGGGTCTCACAAGAGCGGAGTAGAGGGGGTCACCCCGTTGCTTCTTTATTTAGTGGGTAAGAGAGCCACTACAGTCAGGGTTCTCCCTGTTCTTGCAGCGGATGTCTTTGTTGTACTTCAATCCCAATTCTTGACACAAGGTGATGTGTTCTAAGTAACACTGAGTTGTTTCCTTTTTGCCTTTGCATATTAAAATCCCTAAAAGTCAAATTGGAGTTGAGCAGTTTCATACAGAAGGCTACTGTATGTGGGCTGTCAAACTCTTACTTGCTCTCTCAAATATCTGAAGTGAGTTTTTAAGATTTAGTTTAATTTATCAAATAGATTTAAAATAAGAGATACATTATTTTTTCTTTACATTATCCTTAATTTTATCTTTGGCTTGCTTTAGCAGGATACTTCAGAATCACTTAGTTTTTAGCATGCAGTAATGCATGCATCTGTCTCAAAGATGAGTAAGAATACATGAGTTTCATTTCATTGGAAAGGTTAAGTATAGAAATATAATTGATAAAAAATAACAATAAAAGGTGATATGAATTGTGGTGTTGTGTTCTTTAGGTTGAGGAACAGGTCAGCACAACTGAAAGAGTATTTCAAGACAGGCAATATCAGATTGATGCTGCTATTGTACGAATAATGAAGATGAGAAAGACTCTTGGTCATAATCTCCTTGTTTCTGAATTGTATAATCAACTGAAATTTCCTGTAAAGGTAACTGATTTTGTTTTTCAAACCATCCTAGGATTATCTAAAAATATGTAATATATTTTTCCATTCAGCTTGTCCATAAGAGTAAGAAATGTGTAATATGTCTGAATCAAATCCAAATATTAAAGTATTAAAATGAGTTTGTGAACAGAAATAAGCCAGAGTATCAGTAGGAAATTATATTTATATATTTACTATGACACATTTTCTGATATACTGTTAGCAGTCCTATTTTTTTAATAAATAAAATATATTTGCATTTATATTAGTAACAGTTTTCACTGATCTCATCTTTTCTTGTAGCCTGGAGACTTGAAAAAGAGGATTGAATCTCTGATTGACAGAGACTATATGGAGAGAGACAAAGACAACCCCAATCAGTACCACTATGTTGCATAATGGAGAGGAAACACTTCTATTTAAAGAAAAACAAACCAATAAAAAACCCCAAAAATGAAAACCAAAATCATCCACATATATCTTCAGGACACCGAATACCTATGCTGTTCCAGACTTTCTTTTAGCAGATTTCAGGTTGATGTATATTATTCAACCAGCTGCATGCACTGCTGTGGAAGAGAAGCAAAATGACATGTTAACTGATCATCCTTGTCAAGACTCCTTACTAATTTTAAACACCATGTTTTTATTTCTTTTAGTTACTCTTCTGTTCTTTTGGGTTCTTGAGAATTTAGTTTTACAGTTTTGTTTAACAATGTCATTGAAGTTGGATGGAAAGGTAAAATTACCTGTGTGAGAAATACTTCTGTGATGGATGCAAGTCTGGTTTCCTTGTTTATGTGTTCCTAACTGCATCCTTAAAGACCCTATATGCTGCATTCTTTAGCTACAGTGACAACTTGGGTAACTTTTTAAAAACCCTTAATTGATGAACACTTATGTACAAGCAGTGTTGTTGAAATACACTGAATTTTTGAAATTACGCACCATGAAAACCCTTAAACTTGTGTTCAATTAATTTTCTTTCAAATGATTATAAACTTCAGTCTGGTTTGGATAAATCAGGTTTTGAAGTGAGATTCTTGAAGTGCCAAGAGGACAACTGCATTCATGTGTGTAGTGAGTTGTTGGATTATTTAGCTAAGATAGGGATTATTATTTTATTACTACTGCTGCTGGCTTGGGTGGCAAAGATTAGATCTGAGTCAAAGAGGCCCTACTTCATTTTAGGGCAACTGGTGTTTATCACTGTTTATGTAATTGCCGCAACATTTAGTTTTGCCTTTAAAATAACATACAGGGAACCTACTGTACAGCGTGCTCCACTTTAAACAACAAAACCTTTTTTTTAAAAAATACTTTTATGGTCTTGATATTGTGAAAGCATAGTTTTTTGTCTTGAAAGACTTAAGGATTTTGTGAGTACTTTGTTACATATTGTATATATGTAAGTTGATTTGAATTAAAGAATGAAAGACACTGTAGATCTGTTAGATAATTGTAACTATCAGGAAGACATCTTTTGTGGTAATACTTACAAGACTGTCTTTATTTTCCAGATTTGCATACTGGTGTGTTTCATTCTGAAAGAGAGCTACCAAAGGAGTTTTTTGATCATGGCATAAATGAGAATTTAACTGAGCAATATTTTCTTGAGAGATACCTTACTAAGTTTATGTAACATGGGGTTTGTGCATCAGTTAAAAGGCTGCTGCCTCTCTTAAAGTAAGCATTGCTAAGAGTTGACATCTTGTGGATTTACATATTAAAGCCCTTATTCTGTCATCTGGTGTCATTAATTGCATTGCATTCTTCTGAATTATTTTTGTCCCTTTGTGTTTAGAAACTAAACATGTTTAGTTTATTGTATTTAAAACATATTTAATATTGTAATTTAATGTAGACTTATTTTAATATTTGAATCTTCAGTTAATGCAAATAAAAATCTTTGATGCATACTGAATATTAATTTCTTAGCCTTTGTGAGATTGTGGCACTTCAGTGTATTCACGCAGTTTGTTCTTCAGCATTGATGATACCGTTCACCTCGGAATTCACTTTCTGTGCATATGGAAGCCGATCACATCCATCTTACTAGGCTTTTAAAACAAAAAGGAGTCTGTCCCTCATGGAAATGTAATGGGCAGGGGCTTTATATGCACAGAAATTTGGCGGTAGTATGCAGTAACTGATACCAAACAGGGAATGCGTACAGCCTTCCCTTTCTGAACCCAGGCTTCCTGGTTCAACAGTTTTAAACAGTAGATTAAAAGCAGTGGTGTTATCCTGAAGATGATTGAAATGGTTCTGCCTTATGAAGCAATGTTAATTGATCCAAAGTGCCGAGGTGTGCCATTTTTCTTAATTGCCATAGACTAGAACTCTTTGGCCAAATTACTCTGGTTTAGCAATTAAAAATGAGTTGTTCCATGAGCAGTGGGAATAATGAAGCCCGTCTTTCTGTGATGTACGCCCTTGGTCCCCTACTGTCATCCCCCCCATACAGTCTCGAGCAGCAGCACTGCAGAGGGGGTTCTGCTTAGTTCTGCCTTTCTACTCGTGGGAGCGTTGAGTTTGTTCTCCTTTTCTCAGCTGCTGACCTCTCTTGCCCCCCAAACCTGCAGAGAATGGAATGATCTCTGAAGATAATTTTTCTTTTTTTTACTCTTTTTACTCTTCCAAATGGGTCTGAAAGTGGCTTCAGAGGATCAAAAGCTATGGGAGAGATGGACAGGCCAGGTGATTGTGACTCCCTTTTTCTCATGTCCTCATTTTTAATTTGATTTTCTCAAATTTCTCTTCCTGGGATTTTGTATGTGTTGAACCAAACAGGTAAGCAGTTATTTTATTAGCATGGTAATGACTTCTTCATAGCAAAAGAGCTGCATTTGATTGCTTTTTGATAGTTTGCAATAGAATTTGGCTGAGCATCCAGTCTCAACCAGGCCAGCTATTTGGTTCACATCGCCCCGAGTGTATTTGTGCCCAGAGGGCAGAGGTTGTGAAACATTTCTTCCTGGAAGATCACTCAGTGTTGAAGACATCAGGCTGTAGCAAAGTAACAGATTTCCTCTGAAGTGTGTCTATGTTCAGAACACGTCTTGAAAACCTGGATCTTGGCAATTTGGTGTCCTTGGAACAAATTGTATAGCATCTTCTATGGATGACAACAATAATGGCACAAATCTGGGATACAGGTAAGAGCTCTCCAATCTTACCAAAACCTTCCCATTTAACTCAAACATTCAGATACCTCATCTAGACATTATATAAAAAGCAATTTTCCTAAATGTGATGCCCTGTCATCTAGCCCAATGTTTCCTGAGGGAAAGCAACTGTGAGAACGCAGGTTGATGGCTGACTTGCAGCTGCTTCCCAAGTCTGGCAATTAACTGCTCCTTACCAGCCACCAACAGCCTCCTTCCCACCCACTGTTTTCTTAGTTCCGTATTTTAGCTTCCCCTGTATTCCTTTATCTGAACCTAGATTTATCATTTAGCTCCCTTGGTTGGCTGCAGCTTCTTTTTTCCTTTGTGCTACACATCTTCGAAAAATAATTACACACCTTTCAGACAAATTTAGTGCATTGATTTGTTATGCAGACCGACCTATTTGTAGGTTTATCATCTTTGGCAGGTGTGTTAAGGAGAGCGGACTCTGTACTGTAACCTTGGTTATCTATTCCTAGCAAGTCTCTTCAGAAAGAAAATAACCAAGTGAAGTCAGATAACACGCAGCAAAAGGCTACAGGAAGAATGGAGTCCTGTTTCATGGAAATTCTTTCCTGGTAAAAATTCCCAGCCAGCACTCTGTCTTCTGTGCTGATACTCTGCCTCGACTTTGCAAAACAGTTTGTATTTGTATAAGAACCGTGAAGATGATCAGAGGGCTGGAGCACCTCTCCTATGAAGACAGGCTGAGAGAGTTGGGGTTGTTCAGCCTGGAGAAGAGAAGGCTCCGGGGAGACCTTATAGCAGCCTTCCAGTACCTGAAGGGGCCTACAGGAAAGCTGGAGAGGGACTGTTTACAAGGGCATGGAGTGACAGGACAAAGGGTAATGGCTTTAAACTAAAAGAGGGTAGATTTAGATTAGATGTTAGAAAGAAATTCTGTGGGGGTGGTGAGGCACTGGCACAGGTTGCCCAGAGAAGCTGTGGATGCCCCCTCCCTGGCAGTGTTCAAGGCCAGGTTGGATGGGGCTTTGGGCAACCTGGTCTAGTGGAGGGTGTCCCTGCCCATGGCAGGGGGGTTGGAACTAGATGATCCTTGAGTTCTCTTCCAACCCAAACCATTCTATGATTCTATTGTAGTAACTGCTCCTAGATCTTGTGGGTATTTCCCATGTTCTTCCCCATAAGGGGCTGCTCTGCATCCATGGCTCTTCAGGGCCAGGAAATGTACCACAGGTAATGTGGAACTGCATGCAGGTTGGTTGGACAGCAGCTCTGTCAAGCAAAATGCATAAGGGCTGGGTATGGACTACATTTCCCTCAGTGATGGCACTCATTTGGATGTCCAAGCCATCTATATACCAGCTTTTAGAGAAGCTGGAACTTTATGTTTCTCTATGTCTTACCCTGCTATCAAGTTTGATTGATGTTGGCCAGGAAGTTATTGAGCAGTGAGGGTGATGGTGAACATAGTGGCATAACACTTGTTTCATTAGGAAAGCAGGCTAACAAACACCCTGGTAATATTTCTGCTGACAATGACGATTGGGTTTTGTGCAGTCTCTACACCGCTATAAAAGGCTTAGTAAGCTAATGATCCACACCATTTAAGATCAACATCTTTCTCTGCTGATAGCCTTATGTTCTTTACCTACCGATTTCTTGCTACAATACTGTTGCTTGATGCAACTTTGTGTTGGGTTTGCGTGGCAAGATTTTGGTA